GTTGCCGGGAGGAAGGAGCTAGTGCTCGGCTTCCTTCTCCCGTGTTGTCTTCCTCCCAGCAGTTAGGGTGCTGAGCGCCGGGAGAAGCTTTCCTGCCCAAAGGGAAGATGGCTTTGCTTTTCTCCTTCAGGCTCTTGGTGCTCACCCTTCTTTTGCTGACTATATTCTTCTCCTATAGTTTTGCATCATTGCTTCCTTCTAGATTTCATTTCTGTTTTTTCCATTGCTTCTGCATTCATTTTATTTTATTTTTTATTAGATCATAGCTGTGTACATTGATACACTCATGGGGTACAGTGTGCTGTTTTTATATGATAAAATAAATTGAATTTGAAATATTCTCATCAAACTGGTTCACATAGCCTATGTTATATCCATAGATCATCTTTGGCTCCCTCTGACTCCCTCATCTTCACAATACTCTCTGGCATCCACCTTTATTGAACTTGCAATGGGTTATGTTTGTACATGTGTATGTTCTTGCCTACACATGTGTTTGTTGTTTGTTTTCACTTACATGCAAGTTCCTGAGAGCAGAGACTCTGCCTGCCTTCCTCACTGCTCTATTTCTAGGGCCCCTGGGCATGCATTGTCCTGCACACAGGAGGCATTTGGGCAGCTGTATCATACCTCTTGCAGCTCTCAAACCAGAATGATATATTTGAATGAAAGAAAGTGAGGTAAACAGAATTTTCTGTGGGGATCCCCACCCTCACATCAGTGGGCATTGGCTCCATATACGGTCTTGGTGAAGAGGCCAGAACATCATGGATATTCAGAATGATTAAAAATTTCTAACTGGCTATGCAAAAAGGGCAAAGTTTCCACACTTCACAAAGTGAATGAGTCCCTTTACTCTCCAGCTTTGTTTAAGGATTTAGCTTAGTCACATGAGGATAAATTGCCCACTTTTATTGTGTTGTTCTTACATTGTTTGTGTTCCAACAACGGGTAAGTTTTAGGTGAGCAAAATCAGAACCTGTAGAAGTTATCATAACAGAGAATCTTATCTTGTTTAATTCCTCGGTTCTATTCCTTCTTCTTTTCTATCTTCTTCCTTTTTCTTTTCCTTTATTTTAACTGATCATTTTTATGCAAAACTGTGCTTCACTTGAGTTTTAATCTTAGTGGAAATCTTAACTGCACCACTTGAAGTTAATTCAAATTGCAGAGATTTACAGTTAAGCAACTGGTCTGATAAAATAGCTCTTTTAATTTTAGAAAGTGTTTATAAGGGCATTAGTAAATTTCAATTTTTTAAATCAACTAGACTTTATTAATAAAGCAGGAAAGTACTGAGTAGCTTTCAATGACTTAAGTTTTTATTTTTGAAAAAAAATTATGTTACATTAAACACACACAAACACAAAAGTTCTCATGTTACAATATACAATAAAATGTTTCTACTTTGGATAAAGAAAGTGAAGATGGTCAAAGTGTCCATTCATGTGTGTGTAGACACACACACAGGCAAGTGGGATATCTGTACCTCATATGTTAATTAGACCAGTGATAATAACAAGAATAGCAGATATTTGAGTATTAACAAATCCCAGGCAGAGTGGTTCATAAAAGTTATTTAATTTAATCCTCACAATCACCTAATGTTCAGCAGTAATAGAACCATTTTATAGATGAAAAACCTGAGCTATTGGTTAGCAGCAGAGCTGAAATCCATACCCACATCTGTTCACCTCTCTGCACAGTCCCTGGGGACCCCTGCAACACCTTTCCAGTAATCTACTTAGTGGTATTCACCAAAACATTCTCAAGCAATCAACAACACATCCATTGTCCAACAAACTGGATTGTGGTGGGAAATTCTAATTTATTTAATCATACATTGTTACCAAGTGCTCAATAATTATCCATTTTGATTATTTACGCTTTCTGAAGGTATTTATTTTCCTGAATAGAGTGAAACTAGAAAGCTAGGCTGAGCAGGAGAGCAAGGACACAAAACTAGGCAGTTCTTATGAATCATATTTTTTCAAGAAAGGATCAATCCAACAAACACACTATCTAACCAGTGTCCAGTGAAGGAATGAGATGAATTGTCCAATCCTCAAAATGTTCATTGCCACTGATTTGGAGGGGACAGATATGTACATAATTTGTGATGGTAAAAGTAGAATCATTATCACCACTTATTGAACACTTACTATGTAATATATTGTAGGCACTATGCTAGGTATCCATTACCGTTTTAAAATCTCATCCCAATTCCAATTACTATCCCCATTTCAAAGATGTAAAAGCAAAGGGGAATAAACTGATTCAACACCACACCATAAGGAGCTGGTGAAACCTGCCTTCCATCTGATGGGTGCTTTGTAGTACACTGCTGGTCCCACGTGGCTACTCTGCCTTGCCCCTGGAGGGGACTGTGACAAGGGCTGAACAAAGGAGACAATTCTATTCCAAGAACACTGAACAATTGTAATGTAAGCATCATTCCCAACCATAAACAGGCTATCTTAATGTCATCCATTAGTCTCCACATTTACTGGAGTGAAAAATTGACCAAAAATGTATACTGTGCTTTTCCAAAGATGGTAAGAAGGTGGACCATGTGCATCTGATTCCAGTGCCATGGGCTCTTATCCTCCTGGACACCTACAACATACAGAGTCTGCAGAAGCCCTGCACACCTCAGGGTCAGAGGTGGGAAGAGCAGAGATGTTCTACGTGAAGTAGGGAGGGGAGGGTAGAAATACAAAGGGAGGGGATCTTGACCGTTCTCAACAGCTCCCTGCCATTTTCCAGGAGCACTTGTCTCTTCAGGAATGACTACTAAGGCTCATATTTCTCTAGCACGTTAAGTAGGGTGTGCACAACGGCTGCCTCCAGCCCCTAGCGGTGTTTAGCATCCTAAAAACAATTACTTAAATACATTTGAAGAAAGCTTGCCATTCTTAATCCCACTGTTTTCCTATTAATTTATACCTGGCCCACTTT